GACACACATCTACACATACATACGCCTGCCACCCACCTGCACAGACATACCACAGACACATTGGCAATATTTACCCGGCCCCTTAGTAACAGGTATGGGTTAAGACATAGGGGTACGGGTCATATACTGGTCGACTGGAATACTCGCAGCAATCCAGATCGACCCACATATACGTGAATAACCATTTTAACAAATGTATTGGGTTGAGTTTGGGTTTATGATTTCTTTTCACTGTATCATTCCTTACATCCTAACTTCCTTAAATAGAGAGAGGTGACAGCATTCTACAGCAGTAGCAGCAACGGCAAGCCTCATGTTCTCTTACTTTTGATTCAATTGGATATTTTTTCCTATATTAACAAAAATGTGAGAAGGATACATAGCAAAGAAATAAATACAATAAAAAGAAGATGGATTTGCTATACATATGAAAGCCGCTCCTTTTCCTTTTTCTTTTCTTCTTAATGTGTGAAAGTTAATGATCAGTCCATCCATCTTTCAAATTCTCATATTAATCACTTTCAAAAAATAGAGCTCCTCATCTAAGTAAGAATATGGTAACTGCTCTCAGTCATTTGCTTGGAGCGTGTCTATTGTTAAACTCATGAGTAAATGTAGGTTAAGTTTCTTTGGTTCTTTAGCTGGGGTGAACAAAGATCTTCAGGCTTATTTTGCTGGGATTAAGGAGAGTTGAAAAGAGACTGTATTATGCGGAGAATGAAAGGACTTTTTTATTTCAGAGCTATACAGACTATGAAGGCAGTGTTTAAGCTATTTATACAGGTCACTCAGCTAGGGTACGTGTAAAATAAACAGCTTGGGTATCCAAACAGGATGGATTGGGTTAAGCTCACACAGGTCGCCCGTTTGTCACCCGGTCTCATGAGTAAATGTAGGTTAAGTTTCTTTGGTTCTTTAGCTGGGGTGAACAAAGATCTTCAGGCTTATTTTGCTGGGATTAAGGAGAGTTGAAAAGAGACTGTATTATGCGGAGAATGAAAGGACTTTTTTATTTCAGAGCTATACAGACTATGAAGGCAGTGTTTAAGCTATTTATACAGGTCACTCAGCTAGGGTACGTGTAAAATAAACAGCTTGGGTATCCAAACAGGATGGATTGGGTTAAGCTCACACAGGTCGCCCGTTTGTCACCCGGTCCCCATGCACACAAATGCATGCACCATGCGTCTAAACATATGTGCACACAGCCTGCAAGCACACATGCATCCACCATGGTACACATATTAATCCACGCATACGCACAGGCAATCCTTTACAGACAAGATATATCATCAATTTGCTTCTGTTATCTATCAAAAAGTGACTTATGAGGCAAAAACACATGATTAACAGATTGCAAAGATCAAGGCATGGTTAAGAAATTTTTAAAGAAAAATAATTTGTCATATGATTGCAAATATCATTTGATAATGAAAAGGATATATTACCACTAAACAGTAGGCAGTTTCTAAATAATATAATCAGATGTCACAACGAACCCAGTTTCAATAAAGTAAAAGCAGGTTAGGTTAGAATTTAGAAATGTTCTGTCATGCATTAAAACACAATAGCAAAAAAATGAAATGAACAAAAAGTTGTAAAGGTTATTCTTGGCAGTAATTGTTCAAAGTGCAAAAAATGCATGTATTATGTATGTGTAAATGGTGACTGGCCGAGCATATTTGCCCATGGTGGCTGTGCATGTGTACCAATTGGAAGCATGACAATCTGAATATTGCTGATAAAATGAAGGCAACAGATATTCAAGTCCTCCAATAAAAGAATCTAATATAATCTACATAATTCAGGAAACATTACAAAGTTAAATAGAGTTTAATATTTTGAAGATAAAGTGAACATGACAGCATTTTCCTAGTAAATATTGTGGATAGGGATTTACAGCTTGAAGCTTCAAGAGCATATTTCCAAGATCAGAATAGTCTCTGCAGCTTGAAGCCTCCATAGCAAATTTTTTCCAAGCTGTAGCATTTCGAGAAACTTCAATAACAGCCTATGGAAAGGATGAGATCAGAAAACAAAACATATGAACGATACTCAGGAAAATGCAAACATTAAACAACTTCCAACCTCAGTATGTAGCTGATCGCTGATATTTAGCATGGCAACAGCAAGTTTTTGCATAACATAACGGCGTGGAGTAGCCAAGTCTTTAACTAGCTTTCTCCATTTACGATGAGTTCCAGAAGCAAGAGGTTCTGGAAACTCATTAATTGATCGAATAAGAAGCAAATCTGCCCATGAGTATCTCCTACTACGAGGAAAGAAAATTGCAATATACTTCTTTCTGTCGTGAGTGGGCTTGGCCCTCAAAGTTTGCAACGGGCAATCAACTCTGGGACATTGAAATCCACTCTGCCACTTTCCTCTCCACTATACTTGAGCACAAAAAGTAACATATGAGAACATGAAAAAGCAAAATAAATTCCAACTATTGATGAAACTGAACATTAAACTGAAGCAAATTACATATGCAACTAAAGAAAAAAAATGAATGAATGAGCCATCAATACATATAACCCATTTTAACTTCTATGAAGTATCAAGTAATGTAATATTTTTAACACTTATAGACGAGAACTAATTCAGTCATAAGAGTTAATAGATGGATGCATATTAAACAACTAGTAATCATGGTTCTAGCTTTAAACTCTTAACAACTTCGGTTTAGCTGTATACCTCAGGCAGGTCAGTAAATGAAGTTCCTTTCAGCGTAGAGAAAATATATAGCCAGAATCAAACAAGTTAAGTAAAATGTAATGCCCAAGGATAAAAGGAACCTTAGGGGATTCATCAGGAATAAGACTGCTTAGATGAGGCACAAAGAAAAGGAAAACAAAGTATTCCACTGAATAATCTACAGCCTGCACCTATGTTACCTAGGTACTTCCAATCGGAAGCCATACCTGTACTCAGTGTTATCGAGGCGCAAGGCGCAATGCGGGGCGCAAAGGTCCCTTACGCGCACCATGCGCAAGGCGCACAACGAGGCGCGCGCCTCACTTACGCGCACCATGCGCAAGGCGCACAACGAGGCGCGCGCCTCACTAATTGAGGCGCATAACTCAAACTAATATTTGCCAACATCATAAGACAAAAACATATAAGCAACATATTAGTTACCTACATCCAAAATTATGAGAATATCAACTTAAATCATCAAATTATGCTAACTGAATTTTTAAAGTAACAAAAAAGATACAAGAAACATGTATTTAAATCATCAAAAATTAAGTGATTAATAATTATGAGCATATGTTTATAAATTGTCACATAAAAAGACTTAGAAATATAATTAACAAACATGATTGTTCATAATTTTCTAGTTAGTATTCTTAATTGATATTTGCTATTTAGCATGAAAAGATGAAGAATGAATGTAACAATTACATATTTACATGTTCATAATTTGTTAGTCAGCATGCTAATTAGAGAAGGAAGTTACAATTAGCAAACAAGTATACTAAATTACTAATCATTGTTTCCTTTTTATAGGTTAAACATGAAAAGATGAAAATAGATTAGCAACTAGTAAGAAAGAGTATATTACATGATATAAATATGTAATAATGTAAATTATTTTAAAAAAATAGAAGAAAGAGTATGTTACATAATGCAGGTGCTGGGGGCGCGTGAGGCGCGCGCGAGGCGCGCGTGAGGCGCGCACCTCGCTGCGTGCAGTGCCCCGCCTCGCGTGCGGGGCGCATTTCCCCCAGGCCAAAGCGCCACGCGCCCGGGGCGCACCCGAGGCGCGCGCCTCAATAAGCCTGTCTGTACCCGACACGTACCTGTATCCGTACCCGTACTAAAACTTCTTGGACAATTCTTGAATAAATGTATACATTTATTCAGTGTTGTCAATGTGTAAGACGCAATATGGGGCGCAAAGCATCTTTACGCGCACATGCGCAAGGCGCAACGCGATGGGCGCGCCTGAGTGATGCGAGACGCATACCACACAATTTTTTCAAGCTATATAATCAAGCATGAAAGAACATGTTTAGGAATTTACATAAAAAATATATCAGGATAAATAATATCTTACTACAAAATCACAATACAAGGTCTTAATTTCTAATGCTAACCCAACATAGTAACAAAAGTCATAAATTTTTAAATCAAACGTCTAATCAAGGCTAATATCCAAGCAAATGATTAGTAATGTTCCTCAACTGAAGGCTACTAAAAAGACATAATGGATTTATTTTGTTTTTTGGGATATGGATTATCATCTATAAAGACCCGATTGAAATGTTAACAAACAAAAGTATATGAGGGTACGTCCTACATGTACCCTACGCCAACTTAGGATGTATGCGAGGCGCAAAAGGCACTACTGCATTAGACGCAGGGTGCTTCGTCACCACCCCGTATCGCAAGGCGCATGAGGCGCAATGAAATGCGTGCCTTTAAAACACTGCATTTATTCAAGTGTATACTCAATTATATAATACATGTTTTAATTTGAAACACTCCTCACACACTTCTTTGACCTATAATCTTACATTTCACATCTATTTCTTATATATTGATCTTATGTAAATTATTAATTTTAAAACATATAATATATATAACATACATATATAGGAGGGCTAAACCGTATCAATATCCGAGAAAATATTCGTAACCGTATCCGTTAAGATATGGATATGGTTACTCAAATCCATAACCGATAGGATATGATTACGAATATGGTTTTGTAGAGAAATATCTATATTCGTATCCGAAATATTCGAATACATATTAGTCATACTCTTACGGTAGTTTCGATTCTTAGATTATGGACTTGTGATTAATTTTTTGATGATCAAGATGTCTAATCTTAACTTTTCAGTTATAATGAACATATTAACGAACTCTTTTGTATCACATGAACTATATTTTTCTCAATAATATCTAGTATTCTTATATCTGTTTTGTATTCGCATACATATCTGCTTATATATTCGCATATATATCTGTAACCATATTCGATTTTAGCGGATATGATTATGAATTTTTCTTATCAACGTATATTTGTATCCAAGATAGGTAAGCGGATATGGATATGGTAAGCATCATATCCGAACCGTATCCGAACCGAATGCACCCCTGTAACATATACATAGCCATGTCCCCATACCCTGCCTTTTACAAATTTACCATGGCCTATACCCATACCCGTCTTTGTACCGATACTCATGCAACTTAGGCCTGCACATCTTCTCAAATGAACATATAGCTTATGAAACATGATACTCTAAATCAATAAATCTATAAGTTAACAGAAAGAAGAATACTAAATAAGTGTCGGAGGATGTTGTTGTCAATCTCATAGTAACCCAACTTCCGGAAGAAACACCTAAGGTAGCGATCGGATGCCATGGTGTTTTCTTTTTTCATGGTGTTTTTGCAAAAAACAAAACATGGTGTATTTGGAAACCATGTTTTTTTGAGCTAATACATCCTCAACCAAAAACACTACACTTATTTCAAACATCTTTTAGATTTTTTAAGTTTTGTGTTTTGATTTTGAGTTTGAGGGGTTAGTATAATATCTAACATAATAAATTTAAATAATTAATATAATTTATTATCAACATGCTTATTATACTATATTATATTATATTGTAGTATATTAGTAATATTCACTAAATAATATAAAATATATTAATATTTAAACAATCTTATACAATAAAAATATAATAACATATTAAATACTAATATTTAACATGTTGATAATGTATTATACAATAATATAGTTAAAGTAATATAATAATAAATAATAATAGAATAATAATATATACTATATAGCACATGTTATATAATAAATGTAGTATAATATATACAAATATTAATATATCATATTATATAATAAAAATTATATTATATTATTTAGTAAAATATTTTTTTAATAAGAAAACAATATATTGGTAATAAATGTTAATGTAACAATAATATATTCATAATATAATAATATTTATTTTCACCATAAATTATTAATATATTATTAAAGCATTATTAATAAACTCTAATGTATAAAAACTATTATATGGTATATAATGTTAAAGTATTAAGAATTTATTAATTTACTAGTAATACACTAGTAACAACATAATATAGTATTATTAATAATATTATGTTATAATACTAATAGTATAATATTATGATAAAATAATATTAATTTAATAATATTGTATAATATATAACAATAACAAATTGATATTTAAAATAATTAAATATATTATTATTTGAAAATAACATGTAATAACTATAATACATTAAAAAATATTAAAGTACAATATAATATTATAATGCATTATACTATAAATACTATATAACATTTAATAATATTATTATTATGTCAAATAATTATTATAACATTTTAATTATAATTCATTATATTATATTTAGTATTTAATATATTAATAATATAGATTTTTTTGGTAAGTAAAAAAAGTAAAATAATATATTTAGTACTAATGTAATCAAGGGTTAAAGTAGTGTTGACCAAAAACACTCAATATAGTGTTTTGAAAACATTTTGGGGAGAACACAACACCATGGTGTTTCTTTTAAAAAGCACAAGGAAAACACCATGGTATCCGAACGAAGCCTAAGTTAATGGTTTCATTAAAATTTTCAGGTAGGTACCAAGTATATTTTTCCTCAAACCAAGTACTTAGAAAGAACCAATTAGTTAAATCGTTTCACTTAACAATCAACCACATTAACTAATTTTTCTCCATTCAGGTCTACTAAAGACTATACTTTATCCTAGATTAGCAATCATCATAACATGCTTCATCGCCTCAATATCGTTTTTTTAAAACATTCCACGTGGATGCCGATTGCTTCCCTCCTAAATCAAAAGTGCTAAGAGACAAAGGGCCCACAATGTTCTATAATAATCAGGAAAAGAAAGCCTCACCAAAATTCATGGATCAGACACATTAGTCAATATTTCTACAAATAGATCTTCTAGGGACCATAACATATGTTAGATTAGCAATCAACATACCTAATTTACTACCTCAATCCATGCTCATTATGGTCTAGACCTTTCGCCTTATTTCTTCTTCGATTTTGTGATTGCTCCATCTAACTACCTCACCTTTCTTGGTCTATGTTGTACATTTGTAGATCACCACATCAAACTCCCTCGTCCCATCTTCAATCGAAATTTTCAAGGATGCACTCAATTATAAATTTGGTGTATTACCAATCTTCCACCACAACACTCTTTGGTAACACCCCCTTTTGAGGTAAGTCATAGTGCACATTGTAGGTCAGAATCTACTGCCATCTACTTCAGCAATATTCTAATCACATGGTATTTCACAACTACTTCCAACCAACATAAATGTGTAATATTCTTCTCCATCTTGAAAATGACTTCTGATATTCAATGTGAACTCCATTGAAATAGTGTTGTGATAACAGAAAATGCTAAAAGGCATTACCACTAAAAGCCTTCTCCCCATTACAACTGGTTCAGCTACAGAGCATGATGCAAATTCAAGAACGCTCCAACAAGTGGCCAAGTTTAATGGCTCCAAACAAGACATCAACTCTGCAGGAACTTGCTCCGTGTAGAAACTATAAGAAGGAAAAGGCCTTGCGATTTGCTTATAACAGTTAAAGTAATCAGCAAGGCTACCCAAACATTTCCTTCTGTTAGGACAAACTCATTACCTTTATATAATTGTAGTTTTAAGCTCGTATATCAAGGAGCAATCCTCCATTACACCTAGAAAAGGAACCACCTTGGAATGATTAGAAGAATATCATAGGAAATTGCAGCTCTGAAGCATAGAGACTAGAGAGCACATAAGCCTCAAATCACTCCAAAATCTAAATGTTCCAAGGAAAATGCACACAAAAAATTAGAAATATCTTCTTTTAAACACTCAATTAACTTAAGAATCTCAAAAAAAAGACCTTCAATTTTAACCAAGGTTATCAATAGCGGATAGCATCGCGTAACGGTGAGACATTACTAAGGTTATTTGGGGCTATTGCAGCAAAATAGCGGTAAAAAGCGCAAGTCAAATAGCGGTCTAATTTATATATGTACAAAATAATAAGAAAAATTAAAGAAAAATCTAGAAAATATAAAAGTACATATTTGATGACTTAAAAAGATCCTAAACATAAAATAGACATGTAACCGTCACATAATACGGAAAACGACTCGAGGAGTCAAAGAGTCATCGTCTTCTAGAAGATGAGCTGAACGGTGAGAGGACTGCAGTAGAAGGGCTCATAACTTGAGGAGGTGAGAGGAAGTGTTGAAGGAGGTGTCGGGCGGGAATATGCTGGAATTCACCGAGAAGGGGGGTGATGGGATGTAGTGGTTGCGGGTCGGATTTAATTTTAAAAAAATAAACCTCAAACCGCTTTTAAATAGCGGTCAGAAAGCGGATTTTGCCCGCAATCACCGCTATTCACCGCTATAACATGTTATTAGTCGCTTTTGCGAGTGGAAAGCACATATTTCGCAATATGTCACTGTTATTAGACGATAACGTGATAGGAAGGGGCCGCTAACACTATTAGCAGCGCTATTGTGGCGTTATTTACCGCCATTTATAACAATGGTTTTAACATGATGTTTTAATGGAATTGAAATCATAGGTTTTTTAATATTTTATTGGATGATTATGATGGTTCCATACCCAAAGTATGAAATCCAACGATGCTTGACTTGCGTGCATGAGGGAAATGAGCTATTATCCACTTAAGCAAATAAAAGTTTTTGTCCATCCAACTTGTTAACCATTGCGACGGATTTGATGGGATCAAGATCTGATTTCCCCACCCCATCACACGTCCCTCTCTCTTTCCCTTCTTTCCATTCAAACTCCAAGACATCCAACTACCTCATAAGTGGCAATGGCCACTGCCACCAATGGCAAACCGCTACTGCTGTCCACCAACGAATGGGCACTGACAGAGTGACCAGATGCTCGAGTGGTGATCTGATGCAGCAGAGGTGGATTGGTTTCTGTTTGCCGGATATCGCCAACAAGCAACCATTTCGCTGGCAGTCAACAACAACGACAACTGTAAATCATTCGCCAGCAGTCACCAGACGTAGGTGGAACACAAGGCGGGGAAGGAGAAAGAAATGGAGATCAGATCTTGATGCCATCAAATTCTTGCAACATTTACAAAGTTGTATGTGCAAAAGCTTTTATCCACGGAAGTGCATAATAACGCATCAATCTGTGTATCTGTGTGTGTACATCTATATACATAAGGTTAACCGATAGGAAAGAACATGTACCATAATACCATTCAACAATTTTGCCAAACAACAGACTTTATAAGCCAGGTAGGCTTGGTTCTGTCTGCATGGGAGAGCAACAAATAAAGAAGCTGAAACAGAGTAAGAGGGACGGAAACAAGTGTAGACACACAGACATATGTACAATATATAGAAAGGGCAAAACATGTGCAGACAAGTAAACATATGTACCGCATATTTAGATTTCTCTGAGCACAATAGATGTTGTTCAAGAGGATACACCCTATATTTTATAGAAAATGATTTACTTAAGCAATCTGTCAAAGTTGATGGACAAAATTTCAAAATTCTCATGGACATCCATAATCCATTGTAAATTTTCCTTGTCATCTTAAGGCTAATAAGTTGCTAATTAATAGGTCTAAGTTAATCAAAAGATATAAGAAAAACATATTATCAAAGAGTCATATGAAATAGGATGTCTAGCATTTAAAAGTGATAACTTTGGAGGAAGAATATATCAGCATTAGATGTACCTTCACCCAAAGAGCCACTGTTTGATCTTCTAGATAATCAGCTCCCAGAGGGCCAGATTCTCCCTCTCGATTGTGGCCATGCACTTGACTTTCAACTTTTTCAGAAGTGTGTGCCAAGTTGATACTAGTTAACAGAAGCTCGGTTTTCTTATCATGTGCAGACAACTTGCATTGTTCAAAACCTGCTTGAAATGTAAGGCCCGTCGATTCATGGGGAGTTTCACAACGTTCTTTTTCTTTTCCATGAGAATGACGTGTTTCAGTAAGAGTGGAGGATGAGCCAGCTGAAGCATCTCTGATTTTATCGTCATTTATTACATTCTTGTTGCTACCTTTTACAGGTACCTCATAGCAGCTTGATGTACATGCAGTTTCAATCAACTCTACTCTTTTGTCTTGGTCAGTAAAACTGCCTTTGCCATTCGACTGCAAATAGGGAAAAGAATGTTCTTGCACACTCTTAATGTGTCCAGCTTCTTCTTTGCACAATTTCTCTTTCCTAGAAGAAACTTTTGCATCTGAGGTAGCCTCTGACATACCCCAACCCACCATCTGTGGAGAATCAGTGTCTTGACAAGACTGGGAACATTCTCCATTGAGAACTGGCTGTTCAGCAGAATGTATAACACTAGGGAATTCATCCATGAGTCTTGGCAAAGCATAATTACGTTCTTTCAAGCTACTGTCTTCAGCATGACCATTAGGTGCCTGACAAGCTTGATCAGCATCCAATAGAATATGCTTGCTATCGACAATAGCAAGTGATAATTTGTCCCCTTGCCTTTGTTGCGGACATTCCACTTGCAGTAATGTGGTTTCTTCGAGAATACCTTTGGACGTAGGACTCTGTTCTCCAGCACACCGAGCTGAAAAGGAAAGCATTGACATGACTCCGTCCTATCAATTTGAATGCCATAAAATGTGGCAACAATGGATATGTCCTTACTTCCAATCTCCTAAACCAATCAACCATTATATTCAATAAATTCCAGTACATATCATATGAATGGATATTATAATATGCTATAAGTTGTTGAACAAATATGAATGGCAAAGGGCTCAGCCTAAAGTCAATTATTGAGGTAGACAAAATAACATAAGCCAATAATATTTACAGATAAGAATTCACCTTGCACTTTTTGGATTAGGCTGGATCAGTGCGAACAAACAAATAATGCCTTCATGCACCCCTCCAAAAACAGAAAGAAAGAAAATTTGTTTGTGAGATAAAGAACCAAAATATCTACCTTAACTATTCACATGCACACACACAACACAACACATAGAACATAAGATAGTATACAAATATACACCTACTGCGATTTTCTACTAAGCAGAATGCAACTAAAAGCCACTAAGATGTAATCCTAGGATACACAATTGGTTAAACATAGTAACTTTAAGTATTAATTTGGCTAAATTCCATTTAAATACCACAAAGTGTACCCGCTATGTCGCTTCTATATCATAAGCTGTATTTAATGACACAAAAATGTCATAAGTTGTTAAAAAATTGGCACGTTAGTAATCTCAATCCTGCAATCGTGAAAATTTTCATACAAATGTTTATCTTGATACTTACATGCTAATTTTAGACCTTTTTAACTATTAATGTTTGTTAAAATTTGCTATTAAACCAACCGTAATCCTTTTTCAAACTTATCTTAATTCTATTTTCAAATAGAGTTAGTATATGTCTAGTGTTATCAACGCATGATGCGCAATGCGAGGTGCAAAGTTCCTTTACACACAAAAAAGCAAGGCACAATGCAATGCGCGCACACAATTAAATTGAGGCGGACACTGCACACATAATTTTTCAAGATAGATAATCATGAATGAAAGGACATAATTATGAATTCACATAAAAATTGTCAAGATAAATAATACTTGCTACAACATCACAATATTAGGATTTAATTCATAATACTAACGCACCGAACATACAGTAAAGTTAATATTTTTCCAAATCAAAATTCAAACCAAGACCACTATCAAAGGAAAATCAACTAGTAAATGAGAATGAGTTAGACTCCTCAATCGGGCTACTAACATAGCCTAATTGGTTTATTTCTCTTTTAGTATATTGGTTATCGAATATAAAGACCCGATTAAAATGTTAAAGAACAAAAACATACGAGGCTATGCCTTGTAAGGTGCCCTGTGCGAAGTGCAATCGCTTGTGGAGCACAAAACGGTGCTTCTGCATAGATGCGGGGAGCATCACGACCGCCCCCCATCACAGGGCGCATGAGGCACACACCTTTGATAATATTGATATTTCTAATTATAAATTTAACAAATATTAATGGTTAAAAAGTTATAAAATTAACATGTTAGCGTCATATGGGAACATTCAGGTGAAAATTTCATGTTTACATGATCGGGAGTAAATGTGCCAAACTGCCAATTTCATAGTAACTTACGGTATTTTTCTACCAAAGAATACAACTTATGGTATATTAATGACAGAGTGAGGAATCTTTAAGGTATTTAAGTGCCATTTAGCCTCTTACTTTTACGCTTGTAAATATAGGGAAGGGACATAAAGCTTCACAAAAACTCACAATGTGAATATCCAAAATAAAATATTGAACATCCAATTCACAATGCAACTTCAAATTACTAGATTTCACTCCTAAACATGGAATTTACTTCTTTTTCACTCCTCTAGATTGCAAAAACAAATACAACTCTGAGCAAATCAACATTGCTTCATGATCTTAACTTCAATTATCAAGAAATTAAGCTTAATCAGTTCACAATTCATAATTCATGCAAAGGGAACGGGGAAAAAGAAAATCAAAAGTAATTCAAATAAAAATAATAAGAAAAAGTACCTGAGATGTCGCCGTCGCCGACGGCCGGAGATGCTCTCCAATCTTCGGAGATCCTCGGAGATGTACGGGAGCGTCGGAGGAGTCGCCGGAGAATTAAGTGACGAAGAGAAGGGAGCGAGAGAGTTAAGCTAGGGTTAGGGATCGCTAGGAAAGGGGGGAGCGAGTCGATCCCTATTTCCACTAAAAACGATGGAAATTAGGGTTTTGGATCGGGTCCATAACATTAACTCACAAATTAGGATCCCGGGTTTGGGTCGGGTCAAAAGCTATTTCGATGGGCGTAAAAATACTTGGAGAATCTATTTCACGTTAACCTACTAAATATTGGTATTTGCAAAAAAAAAAACTCCCACTTCTCTCATATTGATGTTTTCAACCCTCCCTCTTAACAATTTTAATTTTAGTTTTTTAACGTGAAAATGCAACCTTATTGATATTGGAAAATTTCAACATTATACTGTTCAAAAACCCACATTGGTAAGTGGAAGATATATAAATCAATGTAAGAGTACTGGAAAGTAATTTTGTAAATATCATTATTTGAGGGGTAAATAAGCAAACATGGAGGATTGGCAGCTTATTCATGCAGAACCCCATAAAAATAAAGAGTTGTTCCCTTTTGCATCCAATTTTTACTCAGTATTTCTTTCATCCTTCCTTTTGCATCTCTCTTTTGCACTAATTAAGTGGAAAAAAACTGGTCAAACATTAAACTTAGTTTAGAAAAAAAACAAACAAATTGACGCAGGATTAAATAAGTTATGTAGCGCTAATTTTTTTAATCTTAAACTGGTTGTGTTTTGTTCCACCTCCTCCAAGTTAAGAATTAAACTTGTTTCGGGGGGGATTGCAAAGTTGACCATTAGAGTCTCTGTTACGATCCAGGCCTCGGAGCATCTTAGTAAAGTGTAAGCCTTAGGGTTCATTTGTTAGAATTGTGTTCATATAATTGACTTAGGCACTGTTTGGCAACCAAAAAAAATGTCTTATCAAAGAGCTTATGTCTTATTGACCTGGTCAATAAGCTAGTAGAGCTGTTTGGTGACCAAAAATAGAAGGAGATTATTTTGGAGATTGTGTCTTAGCTAGTAGAGCTGTTTGGTGACCAAAAATAGAAGGAGATTATTTTGGAGATTGTGTCTTTTGCAAGTAGCTTTTGGAAAGCTACCTCAAGTAGCGTTTGTCTTTGGGAAGGAGCTGCCAATTTTTTTTCTTCCATTTTTGCCCCTAATAATTTTAATTTTATATCAATAATATTGCATATCTTTTTTAGTCATTTAACAAATTTAAGCTAGTTGTACAGCTACTTTTGCCAAACAGTTCTAGTCAATCAGCTAGCTACACAGCTAACAGCTTTTAACTACAATTTCACAGCTTTCAGCTAGCTTAACAGCTTTCAGCTAGCTTAACAGCTTTCAGCTATAATCTCGCAGCAATTTCACAGCTTTCAGCTAGCTTAACAGCTTTCAGCTAGCTTAACAGCTTTCAGCTATAATCTCGCAGCTTTCAGCTAGTTTTGCCAAGCTAGCTTAACAGCTTTCAGCTATAATCTCGCAGCTTTCAGCTAGTTTTGCCAAACAGAGCCTTAGTTTGACGAATAATACATTTTTATATTATTTTAATATGTATTTGAGATAGTTAATATAGGTTACAAGAAGTCAGAATCAACTTTATGCACAAAAATTTATAAGGACAAGTCCTCATCGATGGAGCAAGAAACAATTTATAAGCACAAAAATTCTGTCATATTCATCGATGAGGACAAGTCCTCATCGATGAATATGATGCAATTTTTGTGCTTATAACTCATCGATAAAAATGAACCCAATAGCAAAATTAATTACAATCGTCATACTCATCAATGAGTATAAGCATTCATCGATGAGTCTATAACTGAGCTCATCGATGAGGATACCTGCTCATCGATGAGTGTTGGTTAAAATCAGTTTCCTGATCATATTATGATTCAATCTAAGTTGTTTGTTCCTAAAGTTGTATAGGATCTTTTCTCTAATTTTTTATTTTGGTTAGAGATTATTGACCTAATTTAGAGAGAAAAAGAAAGAAAAAGATAGGAAGCTAGAGTTTTATTTTTGGTGAATAAGATCTTGCTCAAGCTTCTCAGTTTGTATCCTCGATATTATTCTTCATTATTTGATCATCAGTCTTCGAGGAGTGATACCCATTGGATCTCAACTAACAACATTCTTCTAGAGGTTCGCTTATGTCATCAAGGAGAACAATGTGCTAAGTTGAAAGGGTTGTAAGATCATTTGTATTTGTGCTTAGTGATATTTATTTTGTTCTGAACTCTTTCTCTGCATTGTTTTGATCAGTTGCATAGTTGTGATAGCATAATCAAGGCGAAGTTGAATTGAGTAATTTATTAGTAACAAGGGGTAGGGTTACTCATTGTCATAATTTTGGTTAGACGATTAGTTTGGAAGAAACTAGGATTTCGGTCTTGTAAGTCTACGGAATCTAGTTTTTGTGATTCATTACAACTTTGATTATAGTGAGGAAACCCCTTCAACGAGAAGGAAGAATGGACGTAGATTGTTTGTCCAAGCCACTATAAAATTATTGCATTTTGGTTGTGACTATTTTGATATTTGCCTTTGTTTTAGGTTTTTTTTTTATTCTATTGCATATTCTATGCAATCTCAAAAAATAGTAGGCAACCTTATTTGCCACTTTCTAGGTTTACATCTTAGATCCTTAGACCATTAAGTGTAACTTGTTGTTTGTCTCGATCCACTGTCAAAAATGCTAGCACTAGTTACGCATAGCTTTCAAGTCTGACTATTTGAGCTCTTCGTTTCCTAATGTAGGATAAATGGATCAGGGCATCATAATCACCCCCTTAAATATGTTATGTCCTCTTGTGATAGTGACAAAGGTCCCACCTTTTACGCTTCAAGCTCGCTAGCCCATTGGCTCAGTGTAAACTCTTAGACTCTGTAAAACCCCGTGAATTTGAATATTATGTGATAAATAATAATGAATATGTTATATGGTGATAAATAACATATTTTGATATTTGAATATGTTAGGAATTGATTTGAGATCAATTTAGTGTATATATGTGAGTGGAGGAGAGAAACGTGCACGAAATATGCACGAAAACAGAAGAAAAACTGTAAAACCTCTACTAAGTCGACTTATAAGTCGACTTGCCACAAGTCGACTTATCAAATCCATAAGTCGACTTACTATAAGTCGACTTGCAAGATATGTAAGTCGACTTATAGGCTGATTTCTAGTTTTCTTTTGGTTTTCGGGTTATATCTGTTTTGTTTCAATCCCAGACTTATTGTAGGCTGTCTAAAAATCACAATAGATAACTGATCCCCATCAAACACCGATAATGGAAGTTACAATCTGACGACTTCCAGAAGGCTACAATTTAAAGACTTTCACATGGATCGATGAAGGTTACAATCTGACGACCTTCACAATAATTGATGAAAGCTCTAATCAACAGCCTTCACAATTAACATCGAGAGTTACAATCTGACAACTCTCACATATCAGAGAGCTAAAGTAAAGATTACAAAATGATGATCTTTGCAACACTTCGACAGAAAGAGACTACAAATCGACGGTCTCTTCAAATCAAGACGTGGAAGTCCTCCCCGCGTACCAACATCAAGATGTGCCGCGTTCATAGCCACGAACGCAGCTCAAACGCAGCTCCAAAAGCTGCAAACGCAGCTCAGATTCGGTCACCAACGCAGCTCATGTTCGACCGCAAAAACAGCTCCAAAAGCTACAAACGCAGCTCATATTCGGCCGCAAACGCAGCTCCAAAAAGCTGCAAACGCAGCTCAGATTCGGCCGCCAACGCAGCTCATGTTCGGCCGCAAACGCAGCTTCCAACAAACTGCCAACGCAACTTCCAACAAGACGCTGCGTCTGAGTCTCCAGATGCTGCGTTCAAACGCAGATTTCATTCCAGAATGCAGGATTTGCGTTTGACTCGTTCAAACACGAGCTGAACGGTTTCAAAACTGTTTCCCACGATCTGAGGGGATCACAACTCCACTCAGGAGTGATTTAAGGGGCGGTTATATCCCATTAGCCCCACTTAGGAGCGAATTAAGGGGGCGGTTATACCTCTTAATCCTCTATAAATAACTGAAAATCAATTCAGCTCAAGGGTTCGGTCGGTTGGAACTTCTTGGCAGCAACAGAAAAGATCCTTGGGCAGGCTTTTGAGGAGATTGAGGTCATCCCTCAGCAACATTCGGCAAGAGGAGTTTTTTTCATCCTTGGCTTATAGACCGATTTCGGTTAAATCAACTCTTTCATAGAGTTTCAAACTCGTTCAGAGTTCTCCACAACGTCAAATCGTGAGGAGAAGACCACATTCCAGTGAATCAAGACGTGCGGATCGTCAACGGAGAGCAAACTCGACAGCGAGCCATATGAGGGTAGGCACTCCAATCGGGCCAGCCGGTGAAGATACGGCCAGAAATTAAATAAAAGGGAGAATCAAAATTCATTTCGCTGTCTGCTTTTGTAATCAGAAAAATTCAAATTGTCACTGAGATTAAAGAATACAAATCAATTTTGCCTTCGTTTCTTTTACTGGCAAAATTTTCCAGCAAACAAAAGATGGGGACTCTTGGCTGGGGAAGAGCTTCTCTGACGAAGAAGTGGTTGGGCGCATTCCGATGTTCATCTCACTGGAAAAACCGTCAAAACTCTCATGGTATGAGTTTTGATCAAGCCAAGTTTGAGGAGGGCCGGCTCTCCTCCGGATCCCTTAGCCGCCAAGGCTATGCGGCAAGATCCACAAAGTGCTTCTAAAAAAAAAGAAGAGCTAAAGCTCGAACTGCTCCAATTGCAGGCCGAACCGCGCATGCAAGGGTGAGACGCCGCATGCTTAAGTTCAAAAATGCAGGTCCACGCCCCAGCATTCGCAGAAGCAGGGATTTTATGCAGCATACCTTCAAGCACAGGTCTTTACATGGCAAATCCCTTCAAAGCCAAGATGCCTATCGAAGGCAAGTGCAGAGAACAAATCGCTTTACCATAAGGAATCAACAGGCCCTAAGATCAGTATTGAATCCAAAAGTATTCGCGAAAATTCATCCCAGTCAACCGCGACTTTCAAAAACATTTGGAGGGGAGTTCTGTAATGGCTGTCTAAAAATCATAATAGAATAGTTGATCCTCAATCAAACACGCGA